ACATAATGAAGAAAGAAAGATGTGTAAAAATCGGATATGTTACCTACATGTCGGCGACGATTATTTTGAATGGAAAAGGTGACAATTATTTTGAATGGAAAAGGCGAAGATGATGAGGGAACTGTTTAGTGGTGGTTGCGTTGATGAGTACTGCGGTGGTCAGCGTTGATGAGTGGTGGGGGGGGGGGGGTTAGAGATCGAGTTAGGGTAAGGAGAGAGTGAGAGTGATGGATCGTGGTGGGTTCTTGTTGCCGGAAAAAGTTTTGCGAGAGTACATAGTTGGTGGAGACGGCGATAAAAAATGGCGGGTGGTGCAAGGTTGGAGAGTGGGTGGTGGTTCACTGTCGATGGTGGTGAGGACGATGATACAGGGGGATGGACTTAGGGTTTTTGATATTTGCTCAAGGGAAAAAGTGAGTGTAGAGGGAAACGTTATGTTTAATTTATTATATTTCTAAAACGTCAATGCTGAATGCCTCTTACTTTCTGAAACGAAAACGGAATGTGTGTATTGATTAGTAAGCATTAAATGGTTGTACATGATGTAGCATGTGCGGTACCTCTTAAATTTCAAGAAATATTAAATATGTTTTATATAATAGTATATATATATATATATATATATATATATATATATATATATATATATATATACACATAGCTTTTACACAACCTAAACCAGAATTTTACTCTTTTCCTCTATTTTTTTTTTCAAAAATGTCTTCTTCCAAAAGGTGAAGCAAAGAAAAAAAAATACCAGTTAGAAACACCACCACCCCAAATACCTTCATTTGATCAACTGATTTTTTCACCTCCGTATTACCACTACGGCGGTATGTTTTCGTATTTTCCACAACGATCAGCATAACCACTACCATAAACACCACCACTACAACAAACACTATCACAACCCGACCCAAATTTTAATTTATTTGATTTTTTGTCACAACTCGAGTTTGTTCAACAACCACAAACACAACAAGAAACGGTCGTTTCTGGTTCCGAACTAGAATTCGTTACAGAAACTCAGCCCACTCGAACAACAACTAAAATAAAAGTGAATGCGGAGGCTAAATGTTGGGAACCTCGGGAAGTATGAGTTTTGACACAATCTTGGATCGATATTTCAGAAGATGCGACGGTTGGAAAGACCAAAAGCATGATCGCTTTGGGATTCACGTTTTACATAGGTTCCATAAAGGAATGAACCGTGGAGAATACCGTACAAAACATCAAGTGTACTCCAAATGGGGGAAGATGAACAAGGAAATCATGTTGTTTAATGAATTGTGGAACAACATGAAACGTCAATGGAAAAGTGGAGAAAGAGATGGAGTGATTTTGAAGAAAGCGTTGAAAGTGTATCAATAAGAAAATCTGAAGGCTTTCAAGTTTCTTGAAGTTTGGAAATTTTTGAAAGATAACAAGAAATGGCTGAGTAGCAAAACATCAGACGAGCATATCGACAGTGGTTCAAAACGCAGCCAAATATCTGAGTCCGACCACACTACATTAGATGTTCGTGTTCAATTTGATCTGAACAAAGATGAATATGTTCCAGTTTCACCACCTTCCCTACCAATGGGAAGAGACAAAGCAAAAAGCAAAGGCAAAGCATCGGATTCAGATGAGTTGAAACAAATGGGGGTCGACATGATGTAACAGCCCGGATTCCCATGTATTATTCATTCTTATATTTTGGTATTTTGTGAGGAGACTCGGCGAGTTGGAGCTCAAACTCGCCGAGTAGGATCGCGATTTTGGACGTGGATTCTTTTTCTGGACTCGGCGAGTCCATGCTGTTTAATGAAAACCTAATTCTCCGGGTTTGGAGCCTATTTAAGGGCACTTATAGCCTCCCATTGCGGCTACCAGTCCCTTGAGAGAACCCTAAGAGAGCTAATTCGTTTTGGGAGAGAGGAAGTCACTTTTGGGCTTTTGTATTCTTTGTTTAGCAAGAGGAAGGTGGCAAGAGCAAGGAGGAGGTGAGATTCCAGCAGATCCAGAGTCCAGAGGCTTCATTTTGAGGTAATGGTTCGAATCTCCTTCAGTTATAGGGTTGATCTTTAGAGTTAAGGTTTTATAACCCTTTTGGAGAGTGATTATGTGAAGCAAATGGTCCTTCTTCGAGTTTGTGCCTTGGATCTGGACTCAAAGAGGTCCAGAGACCTTAACCATTGGAGCTTTTTAGGTTATTAGGGAGTCATTGGACCTAGGTGGTTATTTTTGGGACCAAATCTCCTTTTGATGCCTTGTGGGGGGTTATACAAGCATCAAGTTTCGAACTTTACGTGACATTCGTGCTTGGGAAGGCCAGATCTATGGTTTGGGAAAGCAGATCTGACCTCAGAAGGTCAATAAAAGTGTGTGCATGGCATGAACTCGCCGAGTTGTTCTTGGGACTCGGCGAGTAGGGTTGCGGTTTCACGTAAAGCGTACAGCGAGTGGACTCGCTGGGTTGGGGGATAACCCAGTGAGTCAGGGAGAGTCAATATGGGGTTGAGTCAAGCCGGAACTCGCCGAGTTGTTCTTGAGACTCGGCAAGTTGAATCGTGGTTGCCCTGCGATTCATGCCAGGTGGAACTCGTCGAGTTAGGGGAGTGCTCGATGTACCAAGAAAGGATCCGAGGGAGTCAGTGAACGCGTATAGACTCGCCGAGTTGCTTTGGTGCACTCGCTGAGTCCGGTCAAAGTTGACCGTTGACCAGAGTTGACCAATGTTGACTTGATAGGGTTAGTCAACCTTAGTTGTAAAAGTGTTAATTAGAGATATATTGTATTATAGGAAGATTATAGTTCGGGGGATCGGGCACGAGTGATTCTAGGGATTTGCGAGTTATCGAGATACACGAGGTGAGTCTTCTCACTATACTTTACCTTGAGTTGGTAACTAGAGTTATGTGATACAGTGCTTGTATGTTATATATGTGTTATGTGTTGCGCTGCATTATTCTATGTGATTTATGTTGTGCATGTTTACAGAGTTAGAACCTGAGGGTTCACAGAGTTTGGGTGCACGGACCCACAGAGTTATAGCCTCGAGTGGCTATTATGTGTTATATTTGGTATTTTGGGGAACTCACTAAGCTTTGTGCTTACAGTGTTTGGTGTTATTTGTTTCAGGTACTAGTGGCGACCGTGGGAAGGCGCCGGCTTGATCAGTACACACACACGGGATTTTATGTTATGAGATCTTGGGATTTTTGTATGACATGAATTGAATTTCAAACATTGGTGTTTTTACGAATATTAAATTAATTATGTTTTTATAAAATGCGAAAAATTGTTTTGGAATTTACGGTGTTACACATGAAGAGTATAAAAGACAGAATGAACAAGATTTTGCAAATTGCTTCTGAAAGAGAACTTCGGAAACAAAAGGAGAGCGACATATGAATACTCGCGATGGACACGTCGAGTATGATCGGGGACGAGCTTCAAGTTATTTTGGCGATGAAGAAGGAAGTGAAAAAACGTTACGTAAATCGTAGCTAATTTCTAGTTTTTCTTTTTCAAGTTTTTAAAATAATTAAACAAAAAACAAAAAATAAAAAAACAAAAAATAAAATTGTGGCACCACTCTCTTGGTGTGGCAAAAAACCACACTTGTGTGGTAAAAAATGATGTGATGCTTATATGGCGGAAAAAGGAATACGGTTTCGGTAGTATCACTTCTTCCAGCCTAATGGGAGTGTGAGTAATTGGCCATTCTAAAGAATATATATATATATATATATATATATATATATATATATATATATATATATATATATATATATATATATATATATATATAGGTTCAGGTTCAGGTTCATTTGAAATCATTCTAATTTTGTAAGACCGTGAGACCAAATCTAAAAATAATTTTAAAATGCAAAATAAATGGAAAAATCCAAAAATTCTTTTTTTAAATATTATTTTCGGAACTTCAATTAACTAAAAAAAATATAAAAAAAATAAAAAAAAATAAAAAAAAATCCGTTTTGTTTTTTTTTTGAAAAATACGTGAAATATTCTAAATAGAATATTACACTGACATATTCTAAAAAATAATTTTAAAATGCAAAATAAATGGAAAAATCTAAAAATTCTTTTTTTTAAATATTATTTTCGGAACTTGAATTAACTAAAAAAAATAAAAAAAAAATAAAAAAAAATTCTATTTTTTTTGAAAAATACGTGAAATATTCTAAATAGAATATTACACTGTACATATTCTAAAAATAATTTTAAAATGCAAAATAAATAGAAAAATCAAAATTTTTTTTTTAAATATTATTTTCGGAACATGAATTAACTAAAAAAAAATAAATAAAAAATAAAAAAATGCGTCTCACTGTCTCACAAAATATAGGTGGTCTCAAATGAACCTAACCCTATATATATATATATATATATATATATATATATATATATATATATATATATATATATATATATATATATATATATATATATATATATATATATATATATATATATATATATAAACAAAGACACACCATAACAATAAATTGATATTCAATACTGGCTTACAACATTATTTAACATTTATAAAGGATTTAGAACCCCGTGATCATCATGTGAACATAAATTAACAAATGGAAATGTAAACTACCAAAACTAGGATGTCACAATTAATTTGTGTGGGTGAATGTGTGTATGTGCATGATGTGTTCGGATGAAAACCATTGTGTTATACATTATCCACGTAAGTATTTAAAACAACCAACTCCCATATGACGGTATTTGGCCCCAATTTGAAATGTTGTTGCATATATTTAAAAAAAAAAATCCTTGCATAAACCAGGAAAAATATGACAGGTTGCATAAAAATAACTAATTAACCCAATAAAAGATAATTAGATTTTATCATTGTTATGGATCATATTTATGGTTCCTATAGAACATGCATATATATGTAGAACTGTATCATCTCAAAGAAAATTTTAATGAGTTGATGAGAACACATCTTGCCTCGATGTTTATTGATCTTAAAGTTATAGATGACGCTGGCGAAGATTATACTGTCTGGAAACTGAAGGGATGATTGAAACCTCTCCAACTCCTTCAGGAAGCGTATAGTCAAAGTCTTCCAATTCATCTTCAGGTAAATCAGTGTCAACCCATGAAGACCAGTCCACATCATCATCATCATCATCATCATCATCATCTACCATCTCTTTATTTCCTTGCATGCCATTAACCTTCTCAATTAGTGATTGTAGCATACGATGGTTCAATGTCTCATAATCTCTGCTTGAATTCAATAACACAAACAATATATAAGTGATATTTAAAAAAAAAAAAAAAAAAAAAAGCTTCTAATGTTAGAGTCTTCATCTTTACCTATATGTGTATATGGCATACAGAAGTTGACATGATGCGAGAAGCGTGAATATTGACCTAACAATGCTTATAATCCATGTCTGTTGTTCAATGTCATTTCCATAACGAAACACAACTAACTCAATCACAAACGTCACACATAATCCTACATAAAAAGAAAAAAAAAAGAATTAGAGATTATTGTAAGATATGGAAACATCCTATACGTGAATTGATTAAATTTTTTAGCTAATTTACCTATATAAAGCCTGGACCTCACATTATACGTTTGTTTTGTACTTGTGAACATATAGAGCGTGAAGATTAATATAAAATACACAACGAAAGCTTTAATAGCTCGTGATTCAAGCAAAATTGCATTGTGCAGAGTGAAAAGCTTGTCAATTGCAACAAACATGCTCGTTTGCTTTGACTCAAAAATTTCCTATCAAACAAACATCGAAACAATGTAAATATTATTTAGAATGATAAAGAAAACAAATTATCGTAACAAAAAAAAAAAGAACCTGGGCAGCTAATATGGATTTTGAATTCTCAACTAGATGATCATGAACTTGTTTAAGTTGTTGTTGCCTTTGTATGAGTTCCTGTTGTTGACTATGACCAAGCTCAATCAACTGTTGCAAAGTCCCCCTTAAATCAAATTATAAAACTCAATAAGTATTATATATACATAGAAATATATTATGTACTTTTTTTTTCGTTTTTTTTTGTTCTAATTTACCTGCTCTCTTCAAGGGCTTGGGATTGAAAACTTGTGACAGTTTCAAGAGCCTCGAGTGCAGCATTTTGGCTATCAAAAAGTTGTTTTTGCTTCTCTAATGAAGTTTCCGCTATGTTCTCAATATCATCAGCTTTGCTTTGTAACGTATCCATCTTCATAAACATTGCATCTCCAACTTTTCCAATCTCTTTTTCTACTTCAACAACTTCATTCTTCAAATTCTTCAATTCTCCCCCAATCTTATTCGCAGATTCATTCAACATCATCATCCCTTCATCTAGTCTTTCGTTCATTTTATTTTGTCCATTACGAAGCTCCATTTGAGAATCCGCTAGTTTGAGGGATTGCTCATAAACCGATTGTGAATGCTCTAACACAACACCTACATGTTGTTCAACGTTTTTTGATGTTTTAGCCACTTGTTGAGTTTGAATATCAATAGACGCCAATGACTCATGAATATGTTGTGAAGTATGCGATAGACGCTCTGCCTTCTCTTCTATGTTCTCTAATTTCTCCTCTGCATATTCAGCCGACCTTTTCAGTTCATTCACCAATCTTTCTGTTTGTCTCTTGAATGCATCCGTCCTACATTAGTAATAGTTAGAGAGAGAGAGAGAGAGAGAGAGAGAGAGAGAGAGAGACTCAACTGTAACTGATGACAAATGGAGTTTGTCTCAAGATAGAACTCAAGATAAATCCTATGAGCATCTTCATCTAACTTTTTAAGACAAGTTTTCATGGGAGCTTTTACGTCACAATAAGGAAAATGAGACCTCCCAGTGTCCTTCTGAAAGCAATCAGTAAGATGCCAAGCGAGTCTAGAACGTTGTTCTTCACCTGCTAGAATCTCTGAGCATCCTGTAAATAAATTTTGATATGCGTTTTGCCAACAAGAATTTGATGCAACAACTTTTCTCTTTGCTTTTTCAACCAAAGTCATTCCTTTCTTGCTATTCAAGGATTCCATTGAGAATTCAGCAACCACATTGTGTGAAACATCGGGAAACGTTGAAGGCTTCTCACTAGATTCACCCTTAGTAGTGAAAAACCAACTAAATGACTCGATGTTGTGTGATAGAAGCAAAAGAACCCATAGGATCACAAAGTTATAACGCTTATGGTGATTCATCGGATCCAGTAAAGAACAATAATAAGCCTATATGAAAAAAAAAAAAAAAAAGTGTAGAAATATAATCAGTAGTGCGATGCGTAGAAGCCAATGATTAAGGATCGAAAAAAAAATTATTGGAGAGACGAGTTTATAAGATGAATAGTGCAAAACTTGTGAGGCAAGAAATACGAATACTTTATAATTAAATATTTAAGTGGAATAGAATTGATAGAAATGCATCGGCATAATTCGGAAAAAGAAAAGACAATAGGTCAACAGTGAAGGGCCTACCATATATATAATATTGAAATGACTATGCCCATGAATATATATAATATTTATGTTAAAATATTAAAATATTAAAATATATATGTTGCTTTTGCGTGAAGAAAACGGACATATATAACACTTATCCTATCAACCGACTTGTGATTATATGATTCTAAGGCCGGAAAATAGCGGTGGATATATACATACTGAATACATGACAAAACACAACATTTCTTAGGATTAAAATAATCTAAGGAGCACATATGCTATCACAAAGAGAAGACAAAAACTCAGTCTCTAGAACCAATAGAAACGATGGCATACAAGTTAAAAAAATGTATATAAGGTTACTTTGAACATTCCAACATTCTTTGTAATTGTAACCACCGATATGAAATTCAGGAATTCGTTCATTCAAATGGAAAGCTAATAACTTCTTTTAAGTAACAAATATTCTTGTATAGCAGAGTAATGCCAATATATATAACCATTAGACACCTTCCATTTTTGTCCTTCTACAAAACGTTACATATATAACCACTTGACATGATAATCCCAGATCGAAGATTCACAACTAAATTAAAGTTATAATAGTATTTCGTTTGTCTCATAACTCATAAGTCACATTAACCGGTTCTTCCGACCTTAACAAGCGGCTGTTTCTGAACCGGTCAAACCCGGCTGGTTTAGTCAAAACCGGTAAAAACCGGCACAGTTTGAACCATTGAAACCCAGAGATGAAACATTCAGAACAGGATTTAACAAATGTATATTTTCATAAACACTTCGTGATCACTTACGAGAAGAGACACCAAGTTTAGTCGAAGGTGGGAAACTTTGTTTAACGTATGAACCGGTGCTACTGTAAAACTCGCCGATGATCGGAGTCCTTTAAATAATGATTGCTCACCTTCTTATGTCTTACATTTGATCGATGTGGGATGATTACTGTTTATGTTGATAGCTCTATTAAACTTAATAGCACCAAAAGTAGAAGCTTTTCACCATTGACGCATTTGATAAAAACTTGACCCTCAAATGGAAATTGGGTTACTTACAGGTAAGATTAACACTCCCAACGAAGTTCGCCTCGAAATGAAAGGAGAAGAAGAACCCATCGATTACCAAATGTGTGAAAGGGTAAAACATGGTTTCAAAGGGATGAAACGATTGGGGGTGTCAATGGATCGTCGGTATTTTGTTTCAACCCTTCGTTACCCAATTAACTCCGCTGGTAATCGACGACCACCTAATACCGTAATTACTCCGTGGCAAAATTGTAATTTGGCGGTGTGACTTGTGAGCAACCACGGAAGAAGATGATGTTGATGTCTTCATTTTTCTAATTGCTTTATCAATCGAAGGGTTTGTAACTTTGTATAGTAGGTTGTACCTTACAAACAAGGGAAAATGACTTACGAGGAACTACCTTTTATCCATATTAACATATTGGAATTTTTTTTTTTTTTTTTTAATAATAAATCAACTAATTTGTTTTAACTGTTTAAATTACACCAATATCATTGGCTAATACATGTTTTAACCGGCAACTCAAAGCGAAAATGATTTAGGAGCGTAACTTCCTCTTATCCGTGTTCACATATTGACAACTTCTTATTTTTTGTACATAAGAAAGCAACTAACTTGTTATAACTGTGTAACATCCCAAAAATCATGACAAAAAATTTTCGTTTTTAATTTAATACTAAAACCATAATTGTCAAACAATTTATTTAATACTCCGATATCGGGCCTCGCCCGGCATCAGGCCCCGCCTGGCATCGAACCCCGCTCGGTATACAAATTTGTCTCTCTTATGCCCCACCTACTAAACACATACAATCATATAACATACTAACACATAAAGAAACATACTCTACTGCATCCCTGTCTTAAGAAACATACTCTGCTAATAATGAGATACGAAACTTCGTCCTTACTCAGCTAGTTCCAGCCAGGGCTTCAGCAGTACAAGGTGAGTCTCCTCACTGTGTGAATGGGTCTAAGGCCATAATGCCAACCCATGTAGTCTATGAGTAGGAAGGCCCAGGGGTTAGCCTTAGGCATTGTATGCTAGTATTTTATTCAAGACCAAGGTTTGATGTCGAGCGGGTGCCCGATGAATGTTTTCATGTTAGATTATACTTGTTGTCTGTGTGATACTTGTATGTGCCTGGTAGAGAGGTGAGTGTGGGCGAGGTCCTGTATCTCATCACTAGTTGAGTAAGGACGATGTTCCGTATCTCATTATTAGCAAAGTATGTTTCTTAGGACAATGATACAGTAGAATATGTTTCTTTATGTGTTAGCATGTTATATGATTGTATGTGTTTAGCGGACGGACTCGGAGACAGGCGGGGCCTAAGAGAGACAGATTTGTATACCGAGCGGGGCTCGATGTCAGGCGGAGCCTGATGCTAGGTGGGGCCCGATGCCGGAGTATTAAATTAATGGTTTGATTATGGTTTTAGTATTAAATTAAAAATGAAATTTGTGGTCATGATTTTTGGGATATTACACAGTTAAAACAAGTTAGTTGCTTTCTTATGTACAAAAAATAAGAAATTGCCAATATGTGAACACGGATAAGAGGTAGTTACCCTCTTAAGTCATTTTCCCTTTGAGTTACCGGTTAAAACATGTATTAGCCGGTAATATTGGTATAATTTAAACAGTTAAAACAAGTTAGTTGCTTTATTATGTACAAAAAAGAAAAAGTTGCCAATATGTGAACACGGATAAAAGGTAGTTACCCTCCTAAGTCATTTTCCCTACAAATAATGCAAGTAGCAAATGTAAAATTAATAGCTTTTTCAATATTTAGATCAGTTTAGGTTGTATTCAAAAGGGAGTGAATTAAAAAGTTGTTTTTGTTTGGGTAAATTACGCCAATCGGGCCTCGCCCGACATCAGGCCCCGCCTGGCATCGAACCCCGCTCGGTATACAAATTTGTCTCTCTTAGGCCCCACCCGCTAAACACATACAATCATATAACATGCTAACACATAAAGAAACATACTCTACTGCATCCCTGTCCTAAGAAACATACTCTGCTAATAATGAGATACGAAACTTCGTCCGTACTTAGCTAGTTCCAGCCAGGGCTTCAGCAGTACAAGGTGAGTCTCCTCACTATGTGAATGGGTCTAAGGCCACAATGCCAACCCATGTAGTCTATGAGTAGGAAGGCCCAGGGGTTAGCCCTAGGCATTGTATGCTAGTATTTTATTCAAGACCAAGGTTTGATGTCGAGCGGGTGCCCGATGAATGTTTTCATGTTAGATTATACTTGTTGTCTGTGTGATGTGATGTATTCACCTAATGGCTAACTCCCATCACACAGAGTCCCACAAAGCACAAAGCAAGCAGCATTCGGATACAGGAAACTACTCAAGTAAATCTATTCTCATAACGAGATACTGCACTAGCATACAATGCTAAGCTCATACTATCAAGCATAACCTAAACAGGCTATCCTACTACTGTCTACTCAATACTAGCATGCAAATCTTGTAAAGCTGAAACACATAAAGCAGGCACATAAGGCATCCTCCTAGATCCTTAGTCCTATACTAGCATGCTGTTCTACTGAAACTGAAAATCATCACATAAACTTGCATGTGTAATTTGGGAGTACTTACTTGAGCTCGGCTGATTGCATGCACCACACCAATTTCTTTCTTTAAAGTTATTTCCTTTCTAAAATTTCTTTTTGCTTTTTCCAAAAACTCTTTTTTTCCTAAAAATTTCTTTCGAAATGTCTTTCTTTTGAAAACCTTTTACCATTTCCTTAGTTTGAGTTCAGACACATTCGAAGTGTATCCGAATCCCTCAAACCAAGGCTCTGATACCAACTTGTAACATCCCAAAAATCACGACTAAAATTTTCTTTTTAAAACATTACTAAAACCATATTCATAAAATCCGTATCATAATCATAACATAATTTCGTAGCATTAATTCAAAATACAAACTTATTATCAGAGTAAAACATCCCAGGCTAGCTGACTATGGTGTGTGTACTGCAATCCTTCCGAGCTCCTCTTTTGAAAACTGAGCTCCTGAAACCAAAAACTGAAACTTTAAGCACGAAGCTTAGTGAGCTCCCCCAAACTACCACATACCATACAATAACATATAAAGCACATATTGGGCCTTGCCCACTGCATCGGACCGAGGTCCGGACTAACTGGGGCCTTGCCCCCTGCATCGGACCGAAGTCCGGAAACTGACTGGGACCTTGTCCCCTGCATCGGACCGAAGTCCGGACTAATTGGGGCCTTGCCCCCTGCATCGGACCGAAGTCCGGAAACTGACTGGGACCTTGTCCCCTGCATCGGACCGAAGTCCGGACTAACTGGGGCCTTGCCCCCTGCATCGGACCGAAGTCCGGAAACTGACTGAACATATCATAACATAACATATCAACTAGCATAAACACATATACTGCATACTGCATCGGGCCGTTGCTCGGAACACATAACATATAACACATAACACATAAATTATGTCTGAGCCACGAAGGCATCAGACATACTAACTACTGCATCGGACTGAAGTCCGGAAACTACTGCTAACTGAACGGGCTGGCATTGTGGCCTTAGACCTGTTCCTACTGGAAGGAAACTCACCTGAACTGCTGAATTCTGCTGGTAACCTTCGGACTGCTAACCAACCACTGTCCGAAACCCTGCTCCTCTAACTCTCCGAGCTACCAATAACAAAGAAACACTTAGCCTGTCAGACCTCTAAAAGTCAACTAACTCAACTCCGATCAAAGTCAAAGTCCTGGCCAAAGTCAACCTTCCATGTTGACCCTACTCACCAGTCAGTCTACTGACTCGTCGAGTTCACTGATTTCCGAGTTTTGACCTGTCCAACTCACTGAGTCCCCACTCAACTCGCTAAATTGAGCCTTGACTCAAAGGGTTTGGGGTTTCGCGACTTGACTCGTCGAGTCCAAGAATAGACTCGCCGAGTCCAAGGCAATCTTCAACAAACTCGTCGAGTTCACCTCCATCTTCATACTACTCGCCGAGTCCCTCAAAGGACTCGCCGAGTCTATTCAGTCCTTAATCCATGCAGTGGCTTTTCAAGCCAAACAAGGCTTTTGACTCATAGATACATACTTCTAGGGCCTATCCCTCATGTAAAGTGGCAAAATTTACGTGTAGATCAAGAGATCTTGGCTTAAAACAATCCAAACTAGGGTTTAAGACAAAGAAGCTTCACTATCAACCCAAGAACAGATGCTTTATGACTTTCTAGGCCAAGATACACTTAGATCTGAAGTAGTAACTTCATATCTAGCTTCTAACTCAAAATAGTTTCTTAAGCATGGCATAAAAGCTCCAAATCTCATTACCAAGGTTGATCTATTAAACAAAAGAGGGAAGGTAATGATTTATTACCTTTAAATGCTCAGAATACTCCACCAACTCTGGATCCAAGGCCCCCTTCTTGTTCCACAATGACTATCCTCTCTCTCAAGCTCCAAAAAGCTTCACCAAGGGTTAGATCTTGCTCCAAAACGATTATAGCGGCTAGGGTTTATTGTTCTGAGTGAAAGAGGCACTAAAGGAGCCTTAGGGAAGAGAATGAGGCGTTTAAATAAGCTCCAAGTCCTGGATTTAGGGTTTTCCTTGCCCAGACAGACTCGCCGAGTCACCTTGCTCGACTCGACGAGTCGGTCGCTTACACCTCGACCCGGATCCCGCTCGGACTCGCCGAGTCCCTCCTTGGACTCGCCGAGTCTCCCCTTAAAATTGGTGTTTTCTTTTCTTTTCTTGGCTTTCCAACTTTGGGTGTTACAATTAAATTAATGGTTTGATTATGGTTTTAGTATTAAATTAAAAACAAAATTTTTGGTCATGATTTTTGGGATGTTACACAGTTAAAACAAGTTAGTTGCTTTCTTATGTACAAAAAATAAGAAATTGCCAATATGTGAACACGGATAAGAGGTAGTTACCCTCTTAAGTCATTTTCCCTTTGAGTTACCGGTTAAAACATGTATTAGCCGGTAATATTGGTATAATTTAAATAGTTAAAACAAGTTAGTTGCTTTATTATGTACAAAAAAGAAAAAGTTGCCAATATGTGAACACGGATAAAAGGTAGTTACCCTCCTAAGTCATTTTTCCTACAAATAATGCAAGTAGCAAATGTAAAATTAATAGCTTTTTCAATATTTAGATCAATTTAGGTTGTATTCAAAAGGGAGTGAATTAAAAAGTTGTTTTTGTTTGGGTAAATTACGCCAATCGTCCCTCGATCAGGTGCTGAAAAGCACGTTTAGTCCCTATTTTCAAAAATTAACTCGGACCGTCCCTATGTT